TACCAACTACGATCAGTTTCTCCAAGTTGTCATCGTCTCTGCGCATTATATGGTTGAAATATGATATAACTCGTTAAAAGTGACTAAGTTTAGATAGACATTTGACAGTTCTTTAAAAAACAAAGGTTTTTAGATTTGAGTTCCCGTTTTAGAAATATCATTAGAAATTAAAAACATCTACCTTAATATAGTTAGGAAAGCTCGGTCTCAATCCAGTTAAATCCTTGTATTTTATTGATACGGATAAATTAATCATTGAACAGGTGCAAACCTGAGATTCTAGAGCCGATGTCGATTCATCCAGTTGATAAAAGCAATAAATCGTTTTAACTAGGCAAAGAGTTTTATTTTCTGAATGAGCGTTCGTTATAAAATGGCGTTTGCATCGGGTTATTTTAATCGCTTCACTTAATTTAAAAGAGACAAAATTGACATAGATAGGTAAAAAGCAAGCCTCAAACGTTACGTTATAAATATCGTATAAGTAATAAGTATGCTTTAGTTTTTATCTGTAGTAATATCTACTTCATTGCTATGTTGCCAAAATAATAGAAATAATAATAATCCACATGAAAATAATAGAAATCGTCATATAATATGCGTCCGATATACGGGCTTTATATAAAACAAAGGGCAGATTAGGTGATACCGCTGCTAATAGACAAGTATAGAATGACAAGTATGATGCCGCTAATATTAGTTTCGTAGTTACAAAATAAATTGTAACTATGAAATGTTCTTTCATTTATTATCGATTTTACACAAACAGATGGACAGTCTGATGTGTGGTTACATTATCGGGCAGGCGGCGTTCGTTGTTTAAAAACTTATAATTATTTAATCAGTGTACTGTGTTAAGCTTAAAGATATATTAAATGAGGTAGATTTTTTACAATTACGTATTTGAACAAGATAGGTATTCAGTTAGAAACAGTTGATAGGTACATACTCATTTCATTACATTTCTCTTAGAACAATTCCATTTATTAATACATTTATTTCTCTACCGATCCATATAATGATTGATGACTTTATTATTGCAGATTATATCCATATGTAGTTTTAGTTAGACTATGTAACAATTTTGTCTTAGTTGCTATGTCAGCATTAAATACAAAAAACACCTTAAAAGCTCCTATACAGGGGAATGTTTTAAGACATAATTGTTCTCTGTAATCAACACATTCAGGATACCATTGGTACCAACACGATGCATTAAGAATACCACCCTTTTCTAAATTATGGCATTAAAACCGTTAGTTCGGGTCTCGGCAAACATACACGCACTGTCCGTAGCCGTCCATAGACTTCACGGGTAAAATGACTGACAATACCAGTAGTACCAGTACGAATTCTTAAAAGGTCGGCAACGCACTTGCGAGCCTTCTGGCAATGTCTTAACATCAGGTGAGCCTCCTGCCCGTTTGGTTCCCATTACATAAAAAAAAACACCAGCAACATTGGTGGAAATGTATAAAATTTATTATTATGCTACTGATATTACTTTAATCGGTATTGTATACTACTATTTAAAAGCTAATGGTCTAAGATCCCGCTATACAACGACCTTCACCGAGATGCTTATTTAATGAAACTTATTTTATATATAATTTAATATGTCAATAAATATAATCCATATGGGTTGCCTAGCAAATTTCAGTCCAGAGTATGTTTAATTAATTTAAAAAAAAAAATATTTTTTTAAACATTTCACCGGTATGATTATTAGATAAATTCTATACCAATCGAACGTATGAAGCCCATAGAATATGCAAACGTTAGGTTGTTTTTAATCAATTAATTATTTATGTGTATATTTTTTATGTGACACTACAGTATATATACATCTTTAGTATAAAAGAAGGTTATAGTGATACATATATAATACTACCCTGATTAAAAATATTGATTGAAAAAAGTTCAAAAAATTTACTACATGCAAATTATAAAAAAAAAAAATTTTTTTAATATTAATTAAACATACTCTGGACTGAAATTTGCTAGGCAACCCATATGGATTATATTTATTGACATATTAAATTAAATATAAAATAAGTTTCATTAAATAAGCATCTCGGTGAAGGTCGTTGTATAGCGGGATCTTATACTATAAGAAAGATCTTACCAATTCGTACACGAGGACGAGCGCGATTATATCCCATATTATCTCCTCGTAATAAATATGCATCTGCTGTCCAGACTCCTAAAATTGTAAATATTATTATAGGAAAATAGTATTTATAGTAGTAGTATTAAGAGATTTTAAATGATACATGAATGCCAAAGCTCAAATGTTTAACTAATTATCTTTAATCTTAGGTTCTTTTTACATTAAGCGCATATATTCCTAATCTATAAAATATAACTAAAGTGTCTATTGAATATAATTTATATAATATTAGGATCGCTGACTACTTTTAGGATATTTAATGAGAATTCCTTAATTCTTATATTCACGACGGTATGCGGGTAATTTCGAACGGAATGTTAGGAAACAATCTATCTCATGTATTAACTGATCAATAATTCTTAAATATAACGTTCTTAGAACTTAACGTTTGTATTTTTATTTTATAATAATATTTTCATGTATATCTTAGAATTATTTATTAGTAATCATATCAATCAAATGAACAGAATTTACAATTTTCCTAACTTACATAGAAATAATTAAATATTTATCAATAATTAATTTTTGTTTTTTTGTTTTTTGAAAATCATGTGTTTTGACCAGTGGAGGATTATTGTGAAGAAGACACAGGCCCATAAAGGATTGTAGCGCCACTGAGAGATTAATAATAATTGTTACAAACTATTAAAAGAACAGTGGCGCTACAACTCCTAGCTAGGTATCGGCCTGTTTTCTGATCATTTATTTTTCTCAAGAGGCAAATACGTGTTCAGCTTTCTGTATATATATGTCCTCGATTTGTTGGTCTAAGGCATGCCTCATAACATAGAAACTTCATTAGCGCACAGCCGTGATTCGAACCCACGACCTCTGGTGAGAGGCGCACGCTCAAGACACTAGGCCAACACTGCTTTTTCTTAATCTCCGCTCTGTTGTTAGTGGTCGTTGTTTCGTCTATATCTCCTCTTTATAATACTATTTACAAACAACCATATAGTATTTACAATATTATTTTATTTATTTATTTATAAGTTCTAAAACAACGTGTATGCATTAAATTATACAAGAAAATATGACATCACAAATTTTACACACATAACACATAAATTATATTAGAACATAAGCAAGCTAGCTTAACGTACATAGTAATAGTAAATAAAAATGGATAAACACAAAACTTAAATAAATTTAAAAATTTTGGTCCCTTTGGCAGTGTACCTTTAATGCTGGCAAAATTTCCTTTTTGCGATATTTATTCGTTGAGGAAAGCACCATCTCTAACTACAAACTCGTATACCTAATATAAATAATTACAATGACAGACAACTAAATAATAAAGTTATTAAAATACCATGTTAAATATAATATATAGCTAAGACACTGGATTTACGGATGTATATGTGTTTTCGATATAAATATAGCTCCACCTGAAGTTGTGGGCCGATACTAGTTCGATAATTTGACCTTCCACTCAGATCGTTGAGATCATAGGCTGAAAATAATAAAGCAAAATGGCCTCGGCCTAACAAATTTAACTTTACGATTCACCACTTTACCCAGATATTAACATAAAACAAATTAGTTTGCATAAAATTTTTACTATAGAACTCGAAAATACTACAATTTAGATATTATTTTAGTATATAAATTAAATTTGTCAATTCAAGATTTTGTCAGTATTCTACTTCGTATCTCAAGTCACAATCTTTAGAGGACTGTCAAAATTGTTAAAGTTCGTTCAGAAAAAACTCAAGTTCGGGTTCGATACCTTGAAACTACATCCTAGAATACGAATGTTATTAAATCTAAACAAAGGACACAGACAAGGTGTTTACAAAATCAACAATATTTTTATTTACATTAAACGAATTCAGCGGTGTGTCGAAGTGACAAATGTAATTTGAAAAAGGAAATCGAACTTCAAAACTCAATCAATGTTCCTTCATTTATACGGATTCCCACTGATAAGTTCTAGGAAACCTTTTATATTGAAAAGATGGAGAAAATATTGTATTTCATTTGAATAACGATGGCACTTAAAATGCTCTTATGTTTCTACAGACTTCGCTGTTGTACTTTCTGATTGAAAACGAGGTTGAGTATCAAGACTTGAACGTTTTTTACTGCCAATGTTTATGAGGAATTAAACTGGTCATTAAACTAAATATACCTGCATTTACTGTAACATTGATATTAGCTTACGTTATTGCTCTCTAAATAATCTAACATATAGCTGTCATTGCTATTTCTGTTTCAGTATGTGAGCTATTATTTTAAAATGTATGTTGAAGATCTGTTATTCCATTGTTATATAAAAATGTCAAACATGTTGACAAAAGTCCATGGATTTTTCGTCTAGGACACGTATTGGTGCGGACTTCAATGTCACTTGTTGGGTGTTATTTTATGTTTAAAATCGTGTTTAGATTTGTTTTCTAATTTACATTACTTAGCACCGATGACTAATAGTCTACTTGCAACTATTGCCTATTTTTTATTGTCAATAAAGTCCTGTTTAATAGTTTCGAACTCAAATATCTAAGATACCAATGGCTTAAAGAGAATTTCTAAAACTTATATGAGATGATCCGGGTTTCGATTGATGATTGAAAGTATAAAACCTAAAGCATTAGCCTATATATAACTATTGTTAATGTTGTGGTTGAGAGCTATAAATCTTATTTCCTAAAGGCTTATTTCACCTATCAATATTGATCAGCTATTCTTGTTTCAGATTGAACGCGAATACCGACGAAGATGCATCGATGACTGAAAGATGTTTTGTAATTACAAGCAATCCATTGATGTGTGGAAAGGAATTTGAAAATTCTCGTCGCTTGAATGGGAGCTATGAAGTGAAAATTTTGCGATGACATCAAAGGAAGTGGAGTTGACAGGCGGCGCGCCGTGGGGATTTCGTATGCACGGCGGCCTCGATCAAAACCAGCCATTGCGCATATCACGGGTATGTTATTTTCTAACTAGATTTTCCTTTGTAAAGCTTGTATAAAGGTAACGACTATTTATTTGAAAGAGCCTTAGCTTGGATGATATAAACGATATATTAGAAATAATGGATACTTAAAGATCATTCGCTGCAATGCTGTAAAATATAATTACATAATTATATTTTACGTAGTTATTGATAAATTACTAAAATGATCAATTTTCTACAAATTTTAAATAGCTTGTTTCATTAAACCGTGACCATGCAGGCTGTAAACCACGAACATATTATTTCAGCACACAAAATTGTTAAATTGCTTTAATATATCTTAAAATCTTAAAAGTTAATTACACATAAAATTATACCTTTTTCGCTGTAAAAAACAACAAAAAATGTACTTTAAGACCCGGAATGTTAGTGTAATTTGTTAAGTGTATTGCTTTGTGCAGTGTTCATTAGACGTACAATCTGTTTGCACACGTCCTTTGTGGCTATTCTTTTGCCAAACAGTGCCAACTAGTCCATATTAAAATAGCGTAAACTTTGGATTTCAAAGGCTTTCTTTGACTCATTATTAATAAAATCAACAAAATTATTAATCAAGAATCGTCGATACTGAAAAGAGATTTCAGTCCTGTTTGGAGTTTGGTCTTAGTTTTGAGGCTGTAGTTAACTTCTTTATAAGTTGTAGGTTAGGTAGATTCATCATTCATCAGGATCACTAATATTTCATATAAATGCGTAAGCAGCTGCGTATAAGCGCGAATATCAGCTGATAACATAAATGTTAAACGATATATAAAGAAATATTGAGTCCAAAATCATATCAATGAATAATTGTATTTTTATATGTGATGTATTAAATGGTCGGCAATATGGTAGGTGGAAAAACATAGGTATTTTCTACCAGTCTATTATGTATTTTATGAATTTCATGAATTTGAATTTAGAAATACTACAGTTATAATCATTTAAGACTGCGTTGCTTTAATTGTACAAAACAATCTAAACACTTTTATGATTAGAATAGCAACGTGGCCTTACCTACCCTAATCTCTTACAGGCAACCCTAGTACGGAAGAACGCAAGTGCAAAAGTTTAAAATTTATATATGTAATTGCATACATCACAGTTATTTCAGATACTTTAAATCTACACAGACCAAGCCAGCGGTATCAAATCTATTATTAGTACCTATGTACACGTATGTTACGTTTATTTTGCAACATTTTGTACTTCATAAAAAAACGTGGTAGTAAATATCACAAAGAACGGTTCGGTGGCCGTCGATACACAATTTTATACTAAAATAATAAGTCCTGAGTACATACCTCGTTTCAATATATCCTTTCCCACAAAAAAATAACTACAAAATCAGTTCATAAACAACGAAGGTATCCGCGAACACATTAAAAAATTGCCAATTGAGAAACGTACTACGATTTTGAAGTCGGTTAAAAATATTAGTTAAAAACATTATATTCTATAAACAGACAATTAAATAGAGTGTGTACTTAGCTAATCAGAAAATAAACGAATCTGTGGTTGTCATCTCTCAAATTGGGTAATTTCATTTCAGAGCTTCAGTGAGTCAATGGAACGAATTGATGTGAGTAAAATTGTGACGGAATTGTTTGTTTAACACACAGTGATCAATCTTTTTAGTTAACGAGAGTGCCACTTCGTAACTTGCTATTCATCAACATCGCTTTTATATTTAGTGACTAAATAACACTATAACACTGTTTGTTAATATTCATAATCAATTAATATACACGCATCTATAAAACAATAGCGTGTCTTTAACACCGATAGCTGATAATATTAGTAAAATAGTTACGGAATGCGTTTCTACATTCTGCATTAGTACCTTAGATGCGAAGAGTGCAACGAACTTGCAAGCTAACTGGCATTGTAGGCATCGATGAATAGTTATCACTTTACCTCATATTGCCTGTTCATTTCTATACATTACTTTATTTCCTTAATATTATAGACCACAAGCCCATGAACAAAAAATACCTGTGAAATGACCCAACGTGAATTACGCTTAGAAGGCTGTTACTATATCTGAAAATAGGTCTGAGCACTATGCCGTCATTTCTGAGCGGTACATGTGAGTACGTGAGTGAATGGACTTTCTCAGGTACAATGGGGGAATTTCGACTAATTATTAATGTACGGCTTTGTTATAAGTGTATAGATGATTAAAAATAAATGTCGAAAAACCTAGTGCCGTACAAAAGTGATGGTACCGGAAGTCGGTGCAAATTTTTAATTCGACGACAGTTGCAGAAGCAATAAAGGTCATTTATTACTGTACGGCATTTGTGTGATTCCTTTTGGACACATATACAGATACTTTACCCGTAAACGCCGTACATATTCCCAGCGGAGCGGTCGAAAGCCAAGGGTCGCAACATATGTCTGATTAGCATATAGGTGATGATGATATGAAACAACATAAAATTAAATGATCTTGAGAGTACTTCACAAATAGACAACATTTTCCAGCATGCCGTACATTTTTTGTGGAACACATAGGTGTATGGGGTAAATTACTTTCCTCAGAAAAGAGTCATTTTCCGGTGACTTTTATCTGTACGGCAATAACACAGGTTATTAATACTTTAGACAATCTTCAATAAAAGATAAATGCCGTACACTTTCGATAGTCCGCTACCACCGCCTACCAATACAGGGCGTCCCAAAGTTATGGGAAATGAAGGGAAAGTACCTTAAATATCGTAGATAGGGTATTTTACTAAAAGAAGACTTTATGTTATTTTTAAAAGTTATTAATTCTGCATTCAAAGATTTTTTAAAAATTACTTGCTTCGTCTGGGAATGGAACCGACTTAAATGTAAAAAAACACCCCTACTTTTATGATGCCAATCGAAAGAATGGCCAAAAACTAATAACTCTTCTTAAGTAACATAGTATTTTAAAAGAAAGGAACAGCGTGAATATATCTTTTAATCAAATTAAAAACATTATCTATCGTATTCGGCCAAAAAAAAATCCCCTACGAGTCTGTTACTTTAAAAAAGTTATTAGGTTTTGGCCATTCTTTCGATTGGCATCATAAAAGTAGGGGTGTTTTTTTTTTAAATTTAAGCCGGTTCGATTTCCAGACGAGGCAAGTAGTTTTTAAAAAATCTTTGAATGCAGAATTACTAACTTTTAAAAATAACATAAAGTCTTCTTTTAGTAAAATACCTAATCTGCGATATTTAAGGTACTTTCCCTTCATGTCTCATAACTTTGGGACGCCCTGTATTATATTTCTATTTTTGTTAAAAATATTTTTCCTTTACCTCTCTCTGCTGGTACGATAAGGCTGTAAATATACTTTACAGCCTTATGGTAGTATACTCAGATATGTACAGTTATTAATGACCTTAAGGGACACCTCAAACGTCGTCGAAGTTTTTATCAGCTGTAAAGAATAATCTGGAGTAAAATGTACGGCATCTAGTTTTTTTTGTTTATTTATATTTGTTACATATAACATAACAATAATCTTTGAAAATATTACTCCCCATATTACTCTAGGAGCATTTGAAAAGTCATCTAAATTTCGGAAATTTCATATATTTTTTATCATAATATTTTTATTTGTTACCATTTAAAATGAACGGCTATAAGGTACAACGGTAATATTTAGTAACATTATGTAAAAAAACAAGTTGCCGTACATTATTCTCTCATCTTACAGCAGCAAGAACTTGGTAAATCCTGAAATTTCGATAAATATTTAATTACACAAATATTAACTATAATATTTGGACGGCATAATTATAAAACATTATTGTCCGTGTTAAATAATATTTTGAACATGTTGCCGTACATTTTACAATGACCTTAGGGTATATGGGTGTAGGGGTAGGGTTCCGACCCTTGGCTTTCGACCGTTCCCCTGGAAATATGTACGGCGTTTACGGGTAAAGTATCTGTATATGTGTCCAAAAGGAATCACACAAATGCCGTACAGTAATAAATGACCTATATTGCTTCTGCAACTGTCGTCGAATTAAAAATTTGCACCGACTTCCGGTACCATCACTTTTGTACGGCACTAGGTTTTTCGACATTTATTTTTAATCATCTATACACTTATAACAAAGCCGTACATTAATAATTAGTCGAAATTCCCCCATTGTACCTGAGAAAGTCCATTCACTCACGTACTCACATGTACCGCTCAGAAATGACGGCATAGTGCTCAGAGCTATTTTCAGATATAGTAACAGCCTTCTAAGCGTAATTCATGTTGGGTCATTTCACAGGTATTTTTTGTTCATGGGCTTGTGGTCTATTAGTCAATAAAGTATTTAAAATATTGTATTTAAAAATAAAATACAGAAAATAATAAACGGCACGAATATAAGAGTCTTTCCTCCAACTTCGATTTTGTTCCCTTTGGAGTAGAGACTCTTGGGCCGTGGGATTCAAGTATTTAAGTTTGCGCCTGGTAGATAGTACCGGTGACCCCAGAGCTGGTGCTTTCCAGCCTTAACGAATAAGTAACGCAATACAGAGAGGAAATGCTACCAGCGTTAAACGAACACTGCCACAGGGTTTTCTTTTTAATTATTACTTTGTAGGTTAAGAAAATTGAAAATACAAATTATACAATTTATATATTTTATTTAAAGTAATTAATTCATTTCATTAACGGATACTAAAGCGATTAATTGAATTATTTATAAGTCGTTTCGACTGATTTAAAGACCCTCGCTGACCACAACAGCTTTTTAAGCACTCGAAAAGTCCAGTTATGAAGTTTATTTAAATTGTTTGTACTCGTTTAAAGCAAAGACAACATTTTTATTAGCATAATGTAAAATATTAAATATCTGAACTTTGATCAACAACAGTTAGAAATAAGTTTTTATTGGGTCGGCTACATACACTTTACCTGCAAAGATTTCATATAAATCTCGCATACAAAGAAAATGTAACAAAGGTCCTATTGCTCAGTTCAGCAATTATATGACGCGGGAAAACAAGAGTT